AGTGACTGAAACATCACCCACAATATTTTTCCCAATTAAAATGCTAAACATATTTTTTTTTTACAACTTTCTCGCATGTCAAACTACCAGGAAGTCTGAAAAGACTGAGTGGGCGGGGAGATAAAAGGCTGAGTGGGCAGAAAGCTCACCTTCACTGACAGTTCTTTGAAAACGCCTATGTCAAGCAACATGTTGAAGTGAGATTATTTCAAGCAAATTTGCTGATACACAAAGCAACAAACATTAAAATGGCATGCATCATCCAATCCTGTCATACATCACGGTTTAACAAATGATTTGTTTATCCAACGGTTTTTGTAACAGCATCAATATAGACAAAATGTTGGCTATATAATTTTGCTAGGTAGCCAAATAGAATTGTCAGCACTGTTTATCAAGCTAGCTTGTTGAAACTTTGCAAGGTGAGGTCTGGGTACATTACATACAGTACCAGTCAAAAGTTTGGACACACCTACTCATTCAAGGGTTATTCTTTATTTTTACTATTTTCTACATTGTAAATGTAAAAGGGGCGGCAGGTAGCTTAGTGGGTAAGAGCGTTGTGCCAGTAACCGAAAGGTCGCCGGTTCTAATCCCCGAGCCGACTAGGTGAAAAATCTGTCGATGTGCCCTTAAGCAAGGCACTTAACCCTAATTGCTCCTGTAAGTCGCTCTGGATAAGAGCGTCTGCTAAATGACTAAAATGTAATTGTAGAATAGTGAAGACATCAAAACTATGAAATAACACATATGGAATCATGTAGTAATCAAAAAAGTGTTAAACAAATCAAAATGTAATTTACCGTAATTTTCGGACTATAAGCCGCGCCTTTTTTCAAATTTTTCGACCCTGCGGTTTATATAACGGTGCGGCTAATCTATGGATTTTTACAGCTAACGGCCACTAGAAGACCTCCTAAATCTATGGATTTTACAGGTTACAGTCCACCAACTTTAACTCTATGGGCTCTATGACCGGTCCGCGCCCCCCACCTTTAAGCGGAAAAAAGTGAGACAGGTAGCGCGCAAAAGTAAAAGTGGAACCGAGAGTGGTACGAGAGACAGAACGAGAGACAGAACGAGAGCAAGACAGACAGACATTACGAGAGCGAGACAGTTTGTCTCTTTCCCGACAATCCCCTCTGTGCACGAACCCTTACATATGGTAATTAAACATTAAAACACCTGCGGCTTATAGTCCAGTGCGGCTTATATATGTACGCATCATTCAATATCATTCAATTTAGCTGCTGCGGCTTATACTCCGGTGCGCCTTATAGTGCGGAAAATACGGTATATTTGAGATTCTTCAAATAGCCACCCTTGGCATTCTCTCAACCAGCTTCATGAGGTAGTCACCTGGAATGTGCCTTCTAAAAACATGCGTTTGAGCCAATCAGTTGAGTTGTGACAAGGTAGGGGTGGTATACAGGAGATAGCCCTATTTTGGTAAAAGACCAAGTCCATATTATGGCAAGAACAGCTCAAATAAGCAAAGAGAAACAGCAGTCCATAATTACTTTAAGACATGAAGGTCAGTCAATATGGAAAATTTCAAGAAATGTGAAGGTTTCTTCAAGTGCAGTCGCAAAAACCATCAAGCGCTATGATGAAACTGGCTCTCATGAGGACCGCCACAGGAAAGGAAGTCCCTCTGCTGCAGAGGATAAGTTCATTAAAGTTAACTGCAACTCAGATTGCAGCCCAAATAAATGCATCACAGAGTTCAAGTAACAGACATCTCAACATCAACTGTTCAGAGGAGACAGCTTGAAAATCAGGCTTTCATGGTCGAATTGCTGCAAAGAAACCACTACTAAAGGACACCAATAAGAAGATGAGACTTGCTTGGGCCAAGAAACACAAGCAATGGGCATTAGACCGGTGGAAATATGTCCTTTGGTCTGATCAATCCAAATTCTTGGTTCCAACATCCGTGTCTTTGTGAGACGCAGAGTAGGTGAACGGATGATCTCCGCATATGAGGTTCCCACCATGAAGCCTGGAGGAGGTGGTGTGATGGTGCTTTGCTGGTGACACGGTCTGTGATTTATTTAGAATTCAAGGCACACTTAACCAGCATGGCTACCACAGCATTCTGCAGCGATACACCATCCCATCTGGTTTGCACTTAGTGGGACTATCGACAATGACCCAACACACCTCCAGGCTGTGTAAGGGCTATTTTGACCAAGAAGGAGAGTGATGGAGTGCTGCATCAGATGACCTGGCCTCCACAATCACCTGACCTCAACCCAATTGAGATGGTTTGGGATGAGTTGGACCGCAGAGTGAAGGAAAAGCAGCCAATAAGTGCTCAGCATACCTAGCTAGCCAGTAACTAGCGAACACCTGACACAGATGAAAGCGGAAACCTATAAGTATATTTGCCTTACAGTGCCTTCAGAAAAGTATTCATGGCCTCCCGAGTGGTGCTAGAAGCGTCACTACAGACCCGGGTTCAATCCCAGGCTGTGTCACAGCCGGCCGCGACTGGGAGATCCATGTGGTGGCGCACAATTGGCCCAGCGTCGTCGGGTTAGGGGAGGGTTTGGCCGGCCGGGATGTCCTTGTCCCATCGCGCTCTAGCGACCGCTTTTGGCGGGCCGGGCGCATGCACGCTGACTTTGGTTGCTAGTTGTACGTGTTTCCTCCGACACATTGGTGCGGCTGGCTTCCAGGTTAAGCGAGCAGTGTGTCAAGAAGCAGTGTGGCTTTGCAGGGTCGTGTTTTGGAGGACGCATGGCTCTCGACCTTCGCCTCTCCCGAGTCTGTACGGGAGTTGCAGCGATGGGACAAAACTGTAACGACCAATTGGATATCACGAAATTGGGGAGAAAAAGGGGGTAATTTAACAAATAAATGGTTCCACAACTTGTTGTGTTACAGCCTGAATTCTAAATGGAATACATTGTCTTTTTTTCTCACCCATCTACACACAATACCCCATTATGACAAAGTGAAAACATGTTTTTAGAATTTTTTTTACAAATTTATTGAAAATGAAAGAGAAAAATCTAATTTACATAAATATTCACACCCCTGAGTCAATACATGTTAGAATCACATTTGGCAGCGATTACAGCTGTGATTTTTCTGGGTATGTGTAAGATTTGCACATTATTCTTTAAAAAATTATTCAAGCTCTGTCAAGTTGGTTGTTGATCATTGCTAGACAGCCATTTTCAGGTCTTGCCATAGATTTTCATGCCGATTTAAGTCAAAACTGTAACTAGGCCACTCTGGAACATTCAATGTCATCTTGGTAAGCAACTCATGTATAGATTTGGCCTTGTGTTTTAGATTACTGTCCTGCTGAAAGGTGAATTCGTCTCCCAGTGTCTGTTGGAAAGCAGACTGAACAAGGTTTTCCTCTAGGATTTTGCCTGTGCTTAGCTCTATTCTGTTTATTTGTATCCTAAAAAACTCCCTAGTCCTTGCTGATGACAACCATACCCATAACATGATGCAGCCACCACCATGCTTGAAAATATGAAGAGTGGTACACATTGATGTGTTATGTTGGGGGCAAATCCAACAACGGTTTGTATTCAGGACATAGTTAATTTCTTTGCCATTTTTTTGGTCATTTTACTTTAGTGCCTTATTGCAAACAGGATGCATGTTTTGGAATATGTTTTTTCACTCTGTCATTTAGGTTAGTATTGTACACTACAAAGTTCTTGATCCATCCTCAGTTTTCTAGTATCACAGCCATTCAACTCTAACTGTTTTAAAGTCACCATTGGACTCATGGGAAAATCCCTGAGCGGTTCCCTTCCTCTCCGGCAACTGAGTTATAATAATAATAATAATATGCCATTTAGCAGACGCTTTTATCCAAAGCGACTTACAGACATGTGTGCATACATTTTTGTGTATGGGTGGTCCCGGGGATCGAACCCACTACCTTGGCATTACAAGTGCCGTGCTCTACCAGCTGAGCTACAGAGGACACCTGTATCTTTGTAGTGACTGGGTGTATTGATACACCATCCAAAGTGTAATTAATAACTTCACCATGCTCAAATGGATATTCATTGTCTGCTTTTTATTTTACCCATCTACCAATAGATGCCCTTCTTTGCGAGGCATTGGAAAACCTCCCTGGTCTTTGTGGTTGAATCTGTGTTTGAAATTCACTGCTCGACTGAGGGACTTTACAGACAATTGTATGTGTGGGGTACATAAAGTCATTCAAAAATCATGTTAAACACTATTATTTCACACAGAAAGTCCATGCAACTTATTATGTGACTTGTTAAGCTGATTTGTACTCCTGAACTTATTTAGTCTTGCCACAACAAAGGGGTTAAATACTTATTGACTCAAGACATTTCAGCTTTAAATTGTTTGTATTCATTTGTAAAAATGTCTAACAAAAATAATTCCACTTTGACATTAATCGGGTATTTGTGTGTTGGCCAGTGACAAAATCTAAATGTAATCCATTTTAAATTCAGGCTGTAACAACAAAATGTGGAAAAAGTCAAGGGGTGTGAATACTCTCTGAAGGTCCTATAGATGAGTAGGGGAAACCTGTAATTATATTTGCTGACACGCTGAAGTCAAATTTTGGCACCAGTACACTAGCTACGTAAACCACGCCCTTCTGCGAACACGCCTTCTGCGATGTTGGTTACAAGGCGGTGTTTGACATGGGGGAGGGGACCAGTAACTTTATGATCAAACTTTATCAGTGTATAAGCAACAGTCATTTTTACACACTAAGTTATATTTAAGCAATAAGGTCACGAGGGGGTGTGGTATATTGGCCATATACCACAAACCCCCAAGGTGCCTTATTGCCATTATAAACTGGTTACCAACATAATTAGGGCATTAAGAATAAACGTTTTGTCATACCCGTGGTATTCGGTCTGATATGCCACAGCTGTCAGCCAATCAGCATTCAGGGCTCGAACCACCCAGTTATAAATTATGTTTAGCCTACCCTAGAAGAGGCCACAGTCCTTCAGGTTATTCTTGATGATGACGTCGGTGACTGCGTCGAAGACAAACTGCACATTCTTGGTGTCGGTGGCGCAGGTGAAGTGGGTGTAGATCTCCTTGGTGTCCTTCCTCTTGTTCAGGTCCTCAAACTGACACTGGATGTAGGCCGCCGCCTCCTCGTACGTGTTGGAGCCTGAGAGAGATAGAGATAGAGATAGAGAGAGAGGGTGAAAGAGACATACTCATAAGATTAGGTCTTTTAGGGATGGACTGTTTGTTTTTCCTTCACCATTATGAGTTCCTGAGATGTTAAACACTTTTCCAGGTGTTGCGAGATCTGATAATCTGCACAACGCGACTGCTGGTATTAAGACAACCTGGAACGCGCTGTGCGTTCGAGTGGATCGACCTGAGCAAGGCTTCAGATTCACCAGAATCTGGAATTCAAGATGATTTGTAGATAGGGTAACAGATGGTGTGTGTGTGTGTGTGTGTGTGTGTGTGTGTGTGTGTGTGTGTGTGTCTCTTACCTGCGTACTCCGGGTAACAGATAGTGAGAGGACTCTTCTTGATCTTCTCCTCGAACAGATCCTTCTTGTTGAGGAAGAGGATGATGGAGGTGTCTGTGAACCACTTGTTGTTGCAGATGGAGTCAAACAGCTTCATGCTCTCATGCATTCGGTTCTGAGGGACAGAAAGACAACCACACAATGCTTTAGTTACACATGTCCAGTGGTCCCATTATAGCCTGGTCCCAGATCTGTTTGAGCCGTCTTGCCGTGAGAATGACCATTGTATTGGCAAGACAGCACAAACTGATCTGGGACCAGGCAGGCTAGTCTAGGCTTGGACGGTGTACCGTATATATATCATATACGGGGGTATTTGGAAATAGCCACAGCATTTTTTCCCCTCCCAAAAATAATTTATTTGAAGTTTATTAATACATTTTTAGCTACTTTTTAAGTTAATACCCGCAGTCAACTTGTGCAATAAATTAGGAGATTATTTTACATTATGAAGCTTATCATAGTTCCCCAGAACAGTTGAGCCAGTCACGTGTTTGTTTGTAAATAGCACAATGAGAGAAAGCAGAAGCTGCCGAGTCCAGCTGTGTATTTGGTTTAACTTGCTAGTTCGCTAAGTAAGTAGCTGAATTAATAAGGCGCATCATATAGTGTTACCTTTCTGCAGTGTTTGAGTAGTCAAAGCGCTTTGGATGAGTTATCTGTACAGCTGCCACTGCTTTCTTGATTTCCTTGCGTTTTTTTCTCCTCTCTGATCTCGGCCCCTCAGTCTGTTCTTCCCCTTCTTCTCCGAGCAGAGCAGGCAGGCCCGTTGCCCTAGCGACTCCAGACTCCACACAGACACAGCGTGTACACATGCTGCTCCAGAGGCAGTGCTGTTCTTCCTTTAGACAAGCATGCCTCAACTTTCATTTTCAATGTGTCCCATTCACATTTGCTTGTAAATTGTCCAAACTCACCCGAAATGACATTCGGTAGCTACTACCTATACTTGTATAACTTTATGAGCTGGATTGCCTGTCTTTGCAATTAGTTTTATTCAATTTGTGCTCGTTTGCATATTTAGCTAGCAGCCTCTATAGAAACTCGCTAGTACTTGTGCTAATTTTGTTAGCATTCTGGTAATAGACGCCCAATGGGCTTTTACCCGTTTTTAGCGGCCTCTTGTGTACTAAGACCGTAATACCGTAAATCCCAGAAGAGAGAAGGACAGTATGAAGATATGAACATCTGGATACCGCCCAACCCTAGGCTAGTCCCATTCTCCCAAGAAGGGAAATTCATCCGGTTGCGGGTAACATACACGTACATTATAAAAAACAAACAAAAAAAACACACAGCACAGGTTTTTAGAAACCCATATAATAGGGGTAAATATAATATCACAACAGTTGCTACGGTTATGTAGTTTGTCTTTCTGATGCAATAGGGGCGGAAAATGTGAAACTCAATCCATGTGAATAAATGTACACTTGTTTTATACGAGAAAGAACAAGAGATCACAAGGAAAGGGAAAGGGTGATACCTAGTCAGTTGTAGAACTGAATGCATTCAACTGAAATGTGTCTTCTGCATTTAACCAAACCCCTCTGAATCAGAGCGGTGCGGGGGGCTGCCTTAATTGACATCCACGTCATTGGCGCCCAGGGAACAGTGGGTTAACTGCCTTGCTCAGGGGCAGAATTACAGATTTTTACCTTGTCAGCTCGGGGATTCGATCCAGCAACCTTACGGTTAATGGCCCAACGCTCCTACCCACCAGTAAGGGATGACAATAAATGTGCGAAGCATGAGAAAGATTGGAGGACGGGGATGAGGAAAGGATGAGAATGAACAAGGGACAAGGATGACAGAGGGAGAGTGTACGATAACAATGACTGATGAGCAGAGATAGAATGAGGGTGAGGGAGGGATGAATCTCACCATCTCCTCGTCCTCGGCCAGCACCAGGTCGTAGTCACTGAGCGCCACACAGAAGATGATGGCGGTGACTCCCTCAAAGCAGTGGATCCACTTCTTCCTCTCAGACCTCTGACCCCCCACGTCAAACATCCTGGGGAGAAAATACAAATACAGACTGTTAGTATGTATGCGCAAACACACACTTGAAAACTCTCAAAGTATTTTCAAACATACAGTGGGGAGAACAAGTATTTGATACACTGCCGAATTTGCAGGTTTTCCTACTTACAAAGCATGTAGAGGTCTGTAATTTTTATCATAGGTACACTTCAACTGTGAGAGACGGAATCTAAAACAAAAATCCAGAAAATCACATTGTATGATTAAGTAATTCATTTGCAGAAAAGCATCCCCAAAGAATGATGTTTCCACCTCCATGCTTCACGGTTGGGATGGTGTTCTTGGGGTTGTACTCATCCTTCTTCTTCATCCAAACACAGCGAGTGGAGTTTAGACCAAAAAGCTCTATTTTTGTCTCATCAGACCACATGACCTTCTCCCATCCCTCCTTTGGATCATCCAGATGGTCATTGGCAAACTTCAGACGGGCCTGGACATGCGCTGGCTTGAGCAGGGGGACCTTGCGTGCGCTGCAGGATTTTAATCCATGACGGCGTAGTGTGTTACTAATGGTTTTCTTTGAGACTGTGGTCCCAGCTCTCTTCAGGTCATTGACCAGGTCCTGCCGTGTAGTTCTGGGCTGATCCCTCACCTTCCTCATGATCATTGATGCCCCACGAGGTGAGATCTTGCATGGAGCCCCAGACCGAGGGTGATTGACCGTCATCTTGAACTTCTTCCATTTTCTAATAATTGCGCCAACAGTTGTTGCCTTCTCACCAAGCTGCTTGCCTATTGTCCTGTAGCCCATCCCAGCCTTGTGCAGGTCTACACTTTTATCCCTGATGTCCTTACACAGCTCTCTGGTCTTGGCCATTGTGGAGAGGTTGGAGTCTGTTTGATTGAGTGTGTGGACAGGTGTCTTTTATACAGGTAACAAGTTCAAACAGGTGCAGTTAATACAGGTAATGAGTGGAGAACGGGAGGGCTTCTTAAAGAAAACTAACAGGTCTGTGAGAGCCGGAATTCTTACTGGTTGGTAGGTGATCAAATACTTATGTCATGCAATAAAATGCAAATTAATTACTTAAAAATCATACAATGTGATTTTCTGGATTTTTGTTTTAGATTTCGTCTCTCACAGTTGAAGTGTACCTATGATAAAAATTACAGACCTCTACATGCTTTGTAAGTAGGAAAACCTGCAAAATCGGCAGTGTATCAAATACTTGTTCTCCCCACTGTATCTACATTAAACATTTACATTTTGCCATCTCTCACAAACCATCACACTACTCATAAACACTACAGCCAGTAAACTTCAGCCCTGAACCCTCTCTAGACTAGAGGGTGACTCACACCCAATGGGTGTCCCAGTTGGCTTAGACTATTGAGATAGACCCTTAGAGTGGGTACACTGGGGACTGTCTCACTTGAAGTGGAGGTCTTTGAAGGTGAAGTGCGTCTCCACAATGCCGGTGGTCTTCACCCTGGTCCTCAGCACATCCTGCTGGGTGGGCACGTACGCTCCGTGGGCTATCCTATCCAGGTCATTCAGATAACTGAGAGAGAAAAAGGGGAAGGAGAGAGAGTGGGAGTGAGATGAGGAGGGTGTGTGTGTGTGTGTGTGTGTGTGTGTGTGTGTGTGCGCCGCGCGCACGCGGTTCTCCCCAAAGAATGTAAGAGGGGCGCTGCGCCACTATGTAAAAACCTCCCTTCTGAAAAATCTCAAGCCCGAAAATGCCCTGCATTTCTAATATACACTACAAGTCAAAAGTTTGGACACACCTACTCATTCAAGGGTTTTTCTTTATTTTTTACATTGTAGAATAATAGTGAAACCATCAAAACTATTAAATAACTCATATGGAATCATGTAACCAAAAAAAGAAAAGTGTTAAACAAATCAAAACATATTTTATATTTGAGATTCTTCAAATATCCGCCCTTTGCCTTGATGACAGCTTTGCACACTCTTGGCATTCCCTCAACCACCTTCATGAGGTAGTCACCTGGAATGCATTTCAATTAACAGGTGTGCCTTGTTAAAAGTTGATTTGTAGCATTTCTTTCCTTCTTAATACGTTTCAGCAAATCAATCGCAAAAAACATTAAGCGCTATGATGAAACTGGCTCTCATGAGGACCACCACAGGAATGGAAGACCCAGAGTTACTTCTGCTGCAGAGGATAAGTTCATTAGAGTTACCAGCCTCAGAAATTGCAGCCCAAATAAATGCTTCACAGAGTTCAAGTCAAAGACACATCTCAACATCAACTGTTCAGAGGGGACTGTGTGAATCAGGCCTTCATGGGTCGAATTGCTGCAAAGAAACCACTACTAAAGGACACCAATAAGAAGAGACCTGCTTGGGCCAAGAAACACGAGCAATGGACATTAGGCCGGTGGAAATGTGTCCTTTAGTCTGGAGTCCAAATTGGAGATTTTTGGTTCCAACCGCAGTGTCTTTGTGAGACGCGGTGTGGGTGAACGGATGATCTCCGCATGTGTAGTTCCCACCGTAAAGCATGGAGGTGGTGGTGTTATGGTGTGGGGGTGCTGTGCTGATGACACTGTCTGTGATTTATTTAGAATTCAAGGCGCACTTAACCAGCATGGCTACCACAGCATTCTGCAGCGATACGCCATCCCATCTGGTTTGGACTTAGTGGGACTATCATTTGTTTTTCAACAGGACACTGACCCAACACACCTCCAGGCTGTGTAAGGGCTATTTTACCAAGAAGGAGAGTGATGGAGTGCTGCATCACATGACCTGGCCTCCACAATCACCAGACCTCAACCCTATTGAGATGGTTTGGGATGAGTCGGACGGCAGAGTGAAGGAAAAGCAGCCAACAAGTGCTAAGCATATGTTGGAACTCCAAGACTGTCGGAAAAGCATTCCAGGTGAAGCTGGTTGATAGAATGCCAATGTGCAAAGCTGTCATTAAGGCAAAGGGTGGCTATTTGAAGAATCTCAAATATAACATATATTTTGATTTGTTTAACACTTTTTTGGTTACTACATGACTATTTCATAGTTTTGATGTTTTCACTATTATTCTACAATGTAGAAAATAGAAAAAAATAAAGAACAACCCTTGAATGAGCAGGTGTGTCCAAACTTGACTGGTACTGTATACTGAACAAAAATATAAAAACGCAACATGTAAAGTGTTGGTCCCATGTTTCATGAGCTGAAATAGCACAGAGATACCGTGATGAAATCCTGAGACCCATTGTTGTGCCATTCATCTGCCACAATCACTTCATGTTTCGGCATGATAATGCACGGCCCCATGTCGCAAGGATCTGTACACAATTCCTTGAAGCTGAAAATGTCCCAGTTCTTCCATGGCCTGCATACTCACCAGACATGTCACCCATTGAGGATGTTCTGGATCGACGTGTACGACAGAGCGTTCCAGTTCCCGCCAATATCCAGAAACTTCGCACAGCCATTGAAGGAGTGGGACAACATTCCACAATCAACAGCCTGATCAACTCTGTGACAGAACTGCATGAGGCAAATGGTGGTCACACCTGATACTGACTGGTTTTCTGATCCACGCCCCTACCTTTTTTTAAGGTATCTGTGACCAACAGATGGTTATTTGTATTCCCAGTCATGTGAAATCCATAGGTTAGGATCTAATTTATTTATTTACATTGACTGATTTCCTTATATGAACTGTAACTCAGTAAAATATTTTTAAATTGTTGCATGCTGCTTTTATATTTTTGTTTAGTATAAAATGTGTACAATTGTGTAAAGTTTCTTGTCGTTCCATATGATCAAAATAAACAAACTTATGCTACATGGATTTGCCGTGGTATCAGCTGATATTTGTGCACGTGTGATTTAGCGCCAACCAGGCTTCGAATTTCCCTGCGGAATCGACAGCCATGGCCTTAGATTCCCTATTGAGTGGCCATATTGGCCTCCTAAAGAATGCATGCCTTGCAGCCACTGTGGCCAATGTGCCCCAAATAAATGTTCTGAAGATTAATGCACAAATAGCCTAGTTTTACTGGAATATCACCTTTCTGGCAGTGAGTTGGTTGATGCGTGGAGAGAAACGTGTTATGATAAGCCCAGTCATTGCACAACAATTCTAAATGCAACCGTGGGAAAAACACAGCATTGATGGCCTATTCTATTGAAAATAGGTTCCCAGCTTTCCATTCTTGTTTTATTTATTTCTCAACTCCTAGGATAATATTGAGAAAATGACAGCGTTTTATAGTCGGAGTATCTGATAGTAGAAAAACAAACCGTGGGAAGCGCGTCGTCACAGTGTTTCCCCTGTATTTACTGGGATCATGTATTCTCTGCTAGTGACCATACAAAATAATGTTATAACGGAGAGCAATGTACAATACGGCAAACTTAGCAAAACAAGGAATTTGTGGTAAGTGCATGGGGGCTGCATTCTTTATGCACCTTTCAATGATCATCTCCAGCTCTTTGTTGGACAATTATATAGAAATGTATCCATTAACTGAATCCCAAGGTGGAATGTACAAGAAATGTAGCTAGGTCAACTGAACACGCACTTGCTTTTGCTCTACCGGTGCCCAAAGCAGACGGATGTTGCATTGATGTTACAAGTCATACCACCCAGTTCTTAATGATCTGCCCGCTCTGTCCCCCAGTGGGTCAGAATGAGTGCGCCCCACATGTGGTTGCATGCAGTACAACAGAACTGTAGGCTACTCCAGTGGTTATAGGCCTGCATCTGTTTACATTTATTTCATTGGAGAATTATATGGAAAGTTGAACCAATCTCTTTAATATACTATAATGATGCCTAATGCCTAAATAATCTAATTGATTTTATTCTCAAATAGCAAGTGCTTTATGTTGTTTTTACTCTTGTTACTGACCCCGAGAGGGATAACCTATTCCTTTCCTTTGACTTAAACAAAACCAGAGGTAGGCCTATCACGCTGGCCAGGACAAATGATCAATGTACACTTTAGAAGTGTCTCATCTATCTCAGAAGGCAGAACCAGCCCTAGAAAGGATTCTTTAATAATAATAACTATATTTACTTCACAAACACTAATTATACTGGTTGACTGCACTCACGCCGCAGTGGTTGGGAATAGGAGCCGAATATGCAGCGACCCAGACCCCTTTACTGTTGGAGATTACGCATAAAAATTTTTTATTTATATATATATATATATATATATATATATATATACACACACACACACACAGTGAGGGAAAAAGTATTTGATCCCCTGCTGATTTTGTACATTTGCCCACTGACAAAGAAATGATCAGTCTATAATTTTAATGGTAGGTTTATTTGAACAGTGAGAGACAGAATGACAACAAAAAAATCCAGAAAAACACATGTCAAAAATGTTATAAATTGATTTGCATTTTATTGAGGGAAATAAGTATTTGACCCCCTCTCAATCAGAAAGATTTCTGGCTCCCAGGTGTCTTTTATACAGGTAACGAGCTGAGATTAGGAGCACACTCTTAAAAGGGAGTGCTCCTAATCTCAGCTTGTTACCTGTATAAAAAGACACCTGTCCACAGAAGCAATCAATCAATCAGATTCCAAACTCTCCACCATGGCCAAGACCAAAGAGCTCTCCAAGGATGTCAGGGACAAGATTGTAGACCTACACAAGGCTGGAATGGGCTACAAGACCATCGCCAAGCAGCTTGGTGAGAAGGTGACAACAGTTGGTGCGATTATTCGCAAATGGAAGAAACACAAAATAACTGTCAATCTCCCTCGGCCTGGGGCTCCATGCAAGATCTCACCTCGTGGAGTTGCAATGATCATGAGAACGGTGAGGAATCAGCCCAGAACTACACGGGAGGATCTTGTCAATGATCTCAAGGAAGCTGGGACCATAGTCACCAAGAAAACAATTGGTAACATACTACGCCGTGAAGGACTGAAATCCTGCAGCGCCCGCAAGGTCCCCCTGCTCCAGAAAGCACATATACATGCCCGTCTGAAGTTTGCCAATGAACATCTGAATGATTCCGAGGAGAACTGGGTGAAAGTGTTGTGGTCAGATGAGACCAAATGGAGCTCTTTGGCATCAACTCAACTCGCCGTGTTTGGAGGAGGAGGAATGCTGCCTATGACCCCAAGAACACCGTCAAACATGGCGGTGGAAACATTATGCTTTGGGGGTGTTTTTCTGCTAAAGGGACAGGACAACTTCACTGCATCAAAGGGACGATGGATGGGGCCATGTACCGTCAAATCTTGGGTGAGAACCTCCTTCCCTCAGCCAGGGCATTGAAAATGGGTCATGGATGGGTATTCCAGCATGACAATGACCCAAAACACAAGGCCAAGGCAACAAAGGAGTGGCTCAAGAAGAAGCACATTAAGGTCCTGGAGTGGCCTAGCCAGTCTCCAGACCTTAATCCCATAGAAAATCTGTGGAGGGAGCTGAAGGTTCGAGTTGCCAAATGTCAGCCTCAAAACCTTGGAGAAGATCTGCAAAGAGGAGTGGGACAAAATCCCTCCTGAGATGTGTGCAAACCTGGTGGCCAACTACAAGAAACGTCTGACC